GGCCCCCCCCCCCCCGGGGGCCCCCGCCGCTTTCGATCTGCTGGAGCGGGTGCGGAGCTACCGGCGGCTGGAGCTCTACCTGGAGCCGCTGCGGGACGCCGCCGAGGGCGTCCGCTCCCTCCTCCGGTAGGTGCGGGCTGGGCCGGGACCGAGACCGTTCCCGGGGCCTCGCGTCCCTCACCCTCCCTCCTCTCGGCAGGTGGCAGCGGCCCGTCTGCTCCCTCCTCGTCTGCCTCGGCCTCAACTTCCTCCTCCTCACCCTCGGCCAAGGTGCGTGTGGGGGGGACAGGGCCCCTCCCCTGCCCGGACCCCCCGGGCTGACGCTGTCCCGCCTCTTCCAGCCGCCTGGTACTCGGTGCTCGCCCTCTTGGTGGTGGTGCCGGCCCTGCTGGGGTACCTGCAGGAGACGTGCCGGGCCCGGCCCTCGGAGCCGGAGCTGGTGCGCAGGAGGTACCACAGCGTCCGGCGGGAGGACCTGCGCAAGGTGCAGCTCTCGCGGCAGGAGGCCGTCGCCCAGGTCAAGAGCTTGTGAGTCTCTGGAGCCCTCCCGGCTGCGGGGCTGCTGGGGCCTCTGTGGCTGGGAAGGCTCCTCCGTGGCTGTGGAGGGCCTGCATTCACGCCACTGTAAAGCGTGTGAGTGTGGGGGAGCCAGGGAGTGTGTTTGCGGGGCCTTTTTGTGACTGTGAGGTCTCATTCGCAGCCTGATCCAGCTGGAGGGGTTCCTGAGCGGGATGTGCTGCAGCTGCGAGGCAGTGTACCGTGTACTGTACTGGGAGAACCCCACTGTCTCTTCCCAGTGAGTAGCATTGGGTAAGGCATCCTGTGGTGGGCTCAGTGGGGAAAGGGGCCCGGCCAGGCCTGTGGAGCTGTGTTTGATGTGTTTGGTACTTGGAGAGAGCAGGTGGAGGACCAGGCGAGGGAAAGGGGCTTGTGCTGTGGTGTGAGTTGCTCTGTCTTGACTGCAGTGTCCTGCTGCTCCTTCCCAGGTTTTATGGGGCGCTTCTGGGCTCTGTCTGTGTCCTCTACCTGCTGCCCCTCTGCTGGGTCCTGGCCATCCTCAATAGCACCCTCTTCCTGGGCAACACCCAGTTCTACCAAGGTAAGAGACCTCCCTGGAAGTGGCTCGTGTGGGATGGGTTGGGGAAAGGCCCCCTGAAGCCAGAGATCCTGCCCTGGACCTCTCCCAGCACCCTCATGTGAGCCCAGTGTCCTGTGTCAGGTTCTGCCATGGGACCTGAACCCCCCTGATGGCAACAATGTTCTAGGGATGGTGCTCAGCAGCCCAGGCTGGGTGGTGGGGTCCTGGGGCTCAGCTGTGAGAGGTGAGATTCTCTCCTGATATGTGTCCTGGCCTGGGTGCTGTTTCCCGCTCTTCTCTGTGCTGCGGCAAACTGGGGCCTGGCAATGCAGCCTGTACGTGTCGTTGCCACCCTTCTCGGTCCCTGACCCTGCTCTGCAGGACTTGAAATGCTCTTGGTGCCTGTGGCAAGGTATGACACAGGCTTGAAAACGTGCTGCTGGAGGGGAGAAGAGGTGGAGGCACTCCCTGTTCTGTGGCACGTCCTGGATGAGATTTGTGTGGCTGAGCCATGACTAAGGCCCCTGCTGTTCCCTGTCCTGAGCTGGGGCAGGCAGTGGGGGGTTCCCTGCTGCCCTAACTTTGATGTGTGAGCAGAGAAGGGCTCAGGGTACCTGATGGGTGAAGGTTGTATGTGTCAATGTCCCACCTGGCGCCCTGGAGATAGTTCTTGCAGCCGGCTGCTGTGTGGTGGGGCTGGGAGAAGGGAAGTGCCAGCCCACTCCAGCTGCTCCTTCCTCTTACCAGTGATAATGGAGCTCAAGGCCTCGATCGAGCAGTGTGTGGGCACCAAACCCCTCGAGAGCACTCCCGAGCCTGCTGACCCCCTGCCAGCTGCTGCCCCCCCGGATCGGACCCCCACACCCACCAGCACAGAGGTGAGATGGGGGCAGGGCTGGCAGTTGTGGGGTGGGAGCTGCTGGGTCAGCCCTTTGGTCTGACTGTGTCTGTGTCCCTCTACCCACAAACTCCTTCCAGCTGCCAGCTTTGCTGGAAGCCTGTGAGCCCCTCCTGAGTTACTGGGGGGCTGCCCTGCTGCGCTGGGGGCTTGGCTCAGTCCTTTTGCTGCATGTAAAGATGCAGTCTGGGGAGGCAGGGGCTCACTTCACCTTCTGTGACTCATGTCTTCTCATGGGGCTGCCAGGGGCCTGGTCCTTTGTCCTGCAACCGGCTTCAGAAGCGTGGGCCCACCTTTGTACAGGGGTGGGGGTACAGCATGACGAGCTCTGTGAATCTCTTGCAGGACCTTACCCCTGGCAGCGTGGAGGAGGCAGAGGAGGCAGAGCCTGATGAAGAGTTCAAAGATGCTATCGAGGTTTGAGGCTGGTGGGGGCAGGCCATGCCTGCAGGGCAGCTGAGGTGGGAAGGGGTGAGGGCCTTGGTGGGCCAGCTGGGTGCTCAGGGAGGGTGGCTGTGGGGCTGGGCGCCTCTGACTCCATCTGTACTGCCTCTCCTCTCTGTCCCATGCTGCGGGAGAAGGAGAACCAGCTGCTGGTCATGGTGAGTACTGCCATGTCAAGGTGTGCAAGAGGGGCATCTCCTCCCAGCTGGAACTGGCAGCCTTTGCCTGGTTTGCCGGTGGCTTGTGGCGATGCCAGGTGGAGCATCCTGCCTGTTGGGTGCCCATCTCTGGGGTGGGTGGCTCTGCAGCCACCCCTCTGTGCTCAGCTGGCTCTGCTCTCTGCAGGAGGATGACGAGAGCTCTCAGTGCTCAGCAGATTTTGACCTCAGCCTCCCAGACAACGGTTTTATGAGCAAAAACGAGGTGATCCGCAGCAAGGTGTCGCGCCTGACCGAGCGTCTGCGCAAGCGCTACCCCAGCAACAACTTCGGTAAGGCTGGGAGCAGGTGCTGCTTGGGGGAGCTCAGCAGCGCGGGGTCTGCACTACTCCCAGTGGTGACCACTGAACTGGGAGTGGACAGAGTGGTGTGGTACTTGCTAGGGCTGTGCTGACTCCTCCGGTGACCTGCCCCCTCCATGGGGAGGATGTTCCCAGCCCTCCTAGGAAGGGCAAGGATGGGAAGGTGCAGCAATGTCGTCTCTGAGCTGAGCCTTTACAATAGCCATGTGTGTTCCTGTACCTCTTGCAGTCCCAGGCACCAGAGCCCTGCCTGACCTCTGCTCTCTTTCTTCCAGGGAGCTGCACAGGCTGCGCAGCCACCTTCTCTGTGCTCAAGAAGAGGGTGAGTCTTCAGCTTCTACCCCAGCTTGCTGCCTGCACCTGGGGCAGAGGTGTTCCACGTGTCTGGCTTGCCCTGGCTTTCTCTGGCAGCTCAGGTGGTGGCCTCAGTCACAGCCCAGCAGCGGATGACCTCAGCTAAGTGCTGGGTGTTGTCGCATGCCTAATGGTGCCAGGGATCCCTTGTGCTGTGGAGCCTTTGTCTATTTGCTGCTTTGGAAGGTGCCTCAGGCTGAACGTGCGTGTGCTGGTGTGGAAGGCACCTCCTCTTGCCCTGGTTTAGCCTGTTTCCTGCGGCCTGAGAGCTTTCTGGTGAAGCAGAGCACGGGTCTGTTTGTGGGAGCTAGAGGAGCGAAGGCTGCCCCTGTTGTCTTATCTGAGCCCCTACATGTGATGCTTAGCACACGGTCCCCTGGGCAGTTCTGGGAAGGATGTCTCTCTTGTCCCCTCCAGACTCGCATTGCTGTCTTCCTGCTGCCTCTCGTTCTCCAGACTTGTGGCCCCCTCCCCTCACTCCTGGCTTAGTCTGATACATGTCTGGGGCTCCCTGGAGCTTGCGTCCCTCCAGGGTTACAGCATAGGAAGTGATATAGTGTCCTTAACCCTCCTGGAGCCTGTGCTTTCTCAGGCTGGGCACAGGCCGCCTGTGATGTTAGCGCATACTTGAATGCAAATCCAGTGTTAGGCCTGGGCAGTTTGTCCAGGTGTTGTTGGCAGATGACCCCTCTGCTGTTGCCGTCGGGGCTCAGGGCTTGCACCCGCTCCCCTTCAGCAGGGAATGCTGTTAGCAGTGCTCTTGCACTGGGGTTTGCCAGGGAGGGCTGGGAGTGGGCCCAGAGTAGTGTCTCACCTCCACCTCTCTCCACAGCGGAGCTGCAGTAACTGTGGGAACAGCTTCTGCTCCAGGTGTTGTTCCTTCAAAGTCCCCAAGGCTGTGATGGGAGCCACAGGTGAGTGGAAAGGTGGAGGAGGGCAGGGCTCCTGCTCCCACCTGCGCTGTCTGCTTCAGGGATTTGCCCCAGCCCTGGTGGGGAGGGTGGACGGGACCTGCCCAGCGTAGCCTGGCTCGGGACGGAGCGGTGATGGGTTTGCAGCTCCGTGGCTGAGGTCCCTGGCCTGTGGTGGAGAAGGGGGGCACCTCTGACACCTGCTTTCCTTTCCAGCCCCGGAGGCTCAGAGGGAGACGGTGTTTGTGTGTGCTCTGTGCAACCAGGTGCTCATCAAGTGACTGAAACAGGCCCAGCCAGCTCCTGGGTCCTGCTCTGCCTGACACCCAGGACAGCGGGTGCCCTTGCAGCCGGGAGCCTCGGCTACTTGGTTCCTAGCGTGGCGTCACCCTGCCAGAAGACGCTTGCGCTCGCTGTTCCTCCTGCCAGTGCCAGGCTGGGGGCAGACCAACCCTCCTTGCCACGCAGCATCTGCTGCGCCAGCTGGGTCCCTGCGGCGGAGCATTGCCCGCAGCTGTGCCCCCATCCCTGCAGCTGCTCCAAGCTCTGGGTGCTCCCCAGTACTTGCTGTGCCCTGCTACATACTTGCCCAGGCCCTGTGGCCTGGGTCAGTGATGGAGGAGCCATCCTTCCCGCTTGTCGTCCTACCTCCACCTCCTGGGTGGGGCAGAACAACCTCAGGGCTATGTCCCTACCTTTCCCAGCACTGTGCTAGGTGACTGTATTTTTGGGATCAAGTCAGAGCTCTGTCTGCATCCCCAGGAGATGTGGTCTTTGGTCCTGGCTCAGCAGAGCCCTGCTAGTCACTGCTGTGCTCCTCGGCCTCGCTGCCTGCAGGTTTAGTCTTCCCCCCCCCCCCCCATATTTGGCTGTAGTGCAGAGGAGGCAAGAGGGTAAGTTTGGGCTGGGCTCTGCGGTCTCCAGCTGCAGCATGAGAAGAGGCACGAGTTAGTGCTGCTCTGTGCACTTAGTGACTGCTGCTTTCTACTACAGATTAATATATAAGTGTATACAGAGAACGACCAATAAATCTCTTGCCCTCAGCTGGCTCTTGTCTTGCCCTGGTGAAAGCTGTCTGAGGCCCAAGGTCACTGCAGCACCTCTGTGACCTTGTCCCCGCTGTCCTGCAGGTGGTCGCGGAGAAATGGTGTGTCTCTGCTACCAGCTCTCCTTGCTTACTGGAGTTTCCATCCTCTGTCATGCTGTGGCCTTGTTTGCCCCCTGCTCAGGGCTGTGTGCAGCTGCCCCTCCTTGGCTGTGCCAGGGCCGCATCCTGCTGGGCTGGAGCCGGGGAGCAGCTCAGCTCTGGCAGGAGCTGCTGGGCTTCCTCTCTGCCTCCCAGGGCTGCTCCTTCCCCTGCCCTGCCCAGGCGGTGGTCCCGGCAGCTGCCTGCGCGCACAAGGGTGACCTTTCCCTGTGTGAACAGCGAAGCGCCCAGCTATCCCAGGAATGTGACCCTGGCTGCCGTGCAGCTGGGAACGGCCATGGCCTGGGTCCCTGCCAGCCAGCTGCAGCTTTGGGGGGCCTGGGGGGGGCCGGTGCTCTTGGGCTGGCATTGCCCAGTGCCCACCAGGCTGTGACACCTACCAGCCTGGAGAAGGTACTGGGGGCCCAGATCTCATTGCTGATCCTACGCCCCACCAGTGTGGGCCAGCCCCGGAGGCAGCCTGAGCCCTCCTCTTGGCCATGGGCTCATAAACCCCTTCCTCAAGCTGTGCCCTGTGGAAATTTGGGGAAAAGCTGGGCTTGGCAGCGATGATGAGGGTGTCTGAGTCGTGCTGGGTGTGCTCCAAGGCCAGGGTGTGCGGGGGGGCTGGCACGCAAAGGGCTCAGCAGTTATTGGGGGCAGTGGAGCAGCCGTAACATTGGGGAGGGGGCTGCATAGCACCCCAAGAGCTGTGGGGTCGTATTTGTGGGTGGGGGTGTACCTGCAATGGGCCGAGTACTGGTCTGCCGGGGGCTGGGGGGGCTGAGCTGTAGAGCTCAGCCGGCCGATGGTGGGAGGCAGAGAGAGGTTACTTGTCTTTCTAGAGAAAACACTTGGAGCGATGAGCACCATGGCCATGTATGTCTAAATGCTCCCTGGAAAGATGGTAATGACGCAAAATACAGAGGGCTACAGATAAACTCGGGCTGGGGGAGATTTTTTTTTTTTTTTGGTGTGTACTTTAAGTTTTGCAGTAAAATGACATAATTGACGATGTTTATTCCCATGGCAGCGTGCTCAGCAGCCTCGCTCTGAACATACCTTCCAACAACATTTGAGTTTTTTCCTCAGTTTTTTTCCATGTTTGCCAGGGTGGAGGGTGGGGGCAGCAACCGCCTGCCCCCGCTGTGAGGCTGTGGCAGGGGCACATCCCTCCGGCTGGGGAGGGATGTGTGTGCCCTTTCAAGCTCTGGGAGGTGGGGGGTGGCCAGTGGGGCCGAGGCCATGCCCGAGGGGGGCAGAGGGAGCAGGAATCACCCCGGTGTGGGGCAGGTGCCCAGTGGCTTTGTCAGCCGGCAGGAGGGTGGGCGCAGGCATCCTACAACCTCAATTCCCCTCTTGTCCCGGGAGGCTCCCCTGCGGCAGGGCCAGCTCCGGTGAGAAGCCGCAGTGTCGGCAGCCAGGCGCTGGGTAAATATCGCGGTGGCCGCCTTCGTGCCTCCCTCACCCGTCGGGACAGGCGGACGCAAGAATGTGCTGGGTAAACGGGGCTGGAGTGGGAGAGAGGCAGGGGGGCTGCCCCCCTCGCCTGCTGGGGGGGACAGGGGGGCTGCTGGGGCAGGGGCAGCCCCTGCTCCGGGGCTGGGGGAGCCGAGCTGAAGGGCAGCACCCTGCTGCCATCAGAGGGGCCAGGCTGAGGGCTGCCCCCGTCCCGGTGCTGCTGGGGGGGTCCCAGCTGGTGCAGGTGGGTGTCCCCAGGGAACCTTTTGGGAGGAGGCTGGAGGTGGTGGGGTGGGAGGTCTGGCAGCAGGACAGGGCTGGCTGGGAGCTGCAGACAGGGCTTTCAGGTGGTGTGGAGGTGGGGTGCCCAGGGATGGAGGCAGGGATCCTGGCACAGGATCTGGCCCCTCACTATGCTCAGTGCCAGGGTACCCACATGCACCTCCAGCTCCCAGCCTGCAGATCTGTCCCCCAGGGGTGGCGGAGGGAGAAACCTCTCTGGCAAATGCCCTCAGACCCAGCTGTGGGGCTCCCTGTTCCCCCCCCATCCTTCCTCATCTCGCCACCCTCCCAGGCTCCCTGAAGTGGCAGGGATGCCTGAGTCTCCAGCGATGCCTGTGACCACAGGGAACCCTGTCCCTCGGCTTGGCCAGGCTGCCCAGCCTTGGGCTCTTGGCACGGCGCCTGGAGCAGGGCTAGAGCCAGAGCCCAGGGTGACCCCGCTCCCTCGGGTCGCCCCACTCAGTGAGCAGGACCGGGAGCCCCCTCCCATCCTTCCTGGGGTCCCTGAGGGAGCCCCAAGGGGCAGTTGCCCATGAACCACAGGGAGCTGGACACAGGCTTCTCCGAGGCGGCATAATTTACTGTGATGTGGATGGGCAAGGGGTGCCTGGGCTGGGTCTTGTTGGGGGTGTGTGCGAGGGATGCAGCAGGGCTGTCTGGGGGGCTTGGAGGTGGACCCCCCACCACTGAGCCATGTGGGATGGGAAGGGTGGGGGAGCCCAGGCAGGGGCCGTGCTGCTCTGGGCACTTGGTCTTGAGGGGGCCAGTCTGTAGGGACAGTCGGGCAGCAGGGACCTGCTTTGGCTGGGGTGGGTCCCTGCAAAGGTGGGATAATCCAGGGCTGGGGTGTGAGCTCAGGGTGTGTGCGTGGGATGCTTTGGTGGGCTGCAGTAGGGATTTGGGGGAGCTGAGGGTCTGGGCATATCGTCAGGGAGCTGGGCAGGGGACACCGGGGTGCAGGGTAGGGGTCTTGGGTGCAGCCAAGGGATCCCAAGAAGGCCAAGCAGGGATCCTAAGTGCAGGCAAGGGTCCCTGGGTGCCAGGCAGAGGGCTTGGGGTTAGCAAAGGGTCTCTGGTGCAGACCAGGGCTCACAAGCATGCAGAACAAGGGTCCTGGGTGCAGCCTAAGCTCCTGGGTGTGGGCAGGGGTCCTGGGAGCAGAACAGGGGTCCCAGGGGTGCAGAGAAGGGCTCTTAGGATGGGGCAGGGGTCCTGGCTGTGGATCAAGGCTCCCATGAATGCAGCTGGGAATCCTCGGGGAGCAGAGCAGGGTCCTGGGGCACAGTCAAGGGGCTGAGGGGAGCAGAGCCGGGGTCCTGGGGTGCAACCAGGGTGCCAGGGGTGCAGTGTCAAGCCAGTGCAGGAGTCCCAGGGCAGGGCAGGGTGGGCAAAGCCCTAGTGCTGCCCGGCCCCATACAGCAGGGGGTGGTAGAGGGGGCAGGGGTAGGAGAACATGAACTTGACGGCAAACTTCATCTCCTTGTTGTGCTTCTGCCAGGGGTAGACAGCGAGGAGGAGCAGACGGCCGCCCACCTTGCGGCCCATTACCAGAAAGCTGCCGCTGAGGCTGTCGAGCTGGGGGCAGGGGCAGGCGGCCGCGTTCCTCATGTGCAGCACCATCTTCTTGGTGTCCTTGCGCTTGAGCGGGCCCAGCTTCAGCACCTTCTTCTTCTGGGCGGCCACCAGCCGCCGCTCCCCGTTCTCCTCCGTCATCTCCTTGATGCGCATCTTCACCACTGTGTGGGGCAGCCGTGGGGCACAGTTGGTGGGGGGTGCTGGGGGGTCTGGGCTAGGCACCTGTGCAGTACAGGGTGCAGCCCATCCCTGGGGTGGGACCCAGAAGGGTCTCTGGGGAAGTTACTGTGTGAGGAGGGGAAGGGGCTGTTGGGGGGGGTCAGCAGAGGCCCCCAGTGACCCTCCCAGATGTCCCATTCTGCCTGTCCCCACACCCATGCCTTCTCCTGTGCTGCACCCATCCTATGCACACAGGGTCCAAGGGAATGGCTTGGGGGGTCTCCCATGGGGCTGTCCCTGGAAAACCATGCCCTCCAGCCAACCCCTGCCTGGGCTGTCAGAGGTGGGGGAGGGCAGCCCCTTGTCTGGGGGGACCGGGAAGGGGACCCCAGCACTCACCGAAGTCACTGGAGCACATCTGCTCCATCATGCCATCCGCCTTGTGCTCCATCTCACACTGGGTGCAGATCTTGGACACTGCAGTGAGAGACCAGCCGCTGTCACAGCTCCCTGCTGCTGATGCCTGTCACCTGGGCCAGCTCCGCAGGGACATGCTGGGAGAGCCCTGGCAGCCCCTTTGCTCCCTGGGCAGCTGTGCCGGGGTAATGCGGGGGCACAGAGCACCTCGCTGGCCAGTGTCCCAGCACCCCCCCAGAGGGACGGGGTATGAGGACACCCCTCGTCCAGCTGCCGACGCTTTGGGGCATGGCAGCAGCAGCGCGGGTGGCCCCAGCCTGAAGGGTGTCACAGCCCTGATCCTGACCCTGGGCTGCCTTTGGGTGATGCCCCCTCCCTTGCCTGAGGGACAGCCACCCCGCAACAGCCACTCCGCGACAGCAGCGACAGGTACAGGATGCTCTTTGCTGCTGGGATGGGACCCAGCGGGAGGCAAGGGATACAGCTCTGCCACGGCTCCCGTCTTGTCCCACGTTCACCCCCAACGCTGCTCCGCTCTGCCCTGCTTCAAGGGGTGCAGACATGGGGGTGCGGGGGCTCCGCAGGGGGACCCTGCATGCAGCTCTCTGGCTGCATGGGGACACGCTGCTGGCAGGTGCCCTGTGCGCATCCTCATCCCATCGCAGTGCCCTTCCCGCTT